TTGCTTTTCCCTGTTGATAAGTGAGGATGAGCATCTTTCACATGTCTGTTCGTCAACCTGTATGTCAGGAATAAACCCCACTTGATCGTGGTGAATAATGTTTTTAATGTATTGTTGGATTTGGTTTGTTAATATTTTGTTGAGGATTTTTGCATCTATGTTCACCAGAGATATTGGCCTATAGTTATCTTTTTGTGGTGCCTTTATCTGGTTTTGGAATCAGGGTAATGCTGGCTTTTTAGAACGAATTTGGAAGTTTTTTCCCTTATCTATTTTTTGGAGTTGTCTCCTCCCCATGTTTTAAGTATATGGTGTCATATTTTATACACCCTTTTATTTTGCGAGTTCCTTGACTGGGTTTTATGGAAACATTCATTTTTACTGCTTTTGTGTTTCCTGCCCTCATACTGTCATTTTTTGCCTTTCTACTTGAAGAGTCCCTCTTAATATTTCATGCTGGGTTGGTTTAGTGGCCATGAACTTCTTTGGATTTTGTTTGGGAGACTTCTTTTTAATTTTTAAGTAAGTGCCATGCCCAGCATGGAGCCTAGCGCAGGGCTTGAACTCATGACCCTGAGATCAAGACCTGAGTTGATGGGGTGCCTGGGGAGTTCAGTCAGTTAAGTGTCTGCTTTGGGCTCAGATCATGATCCTGGAGTTCCCAGGGATTGAGCCCCGCCTTGGGCTCCCTGCTCAGTGGGGAGTCTGCTTCTCCCACTGTCCCTCGCCTCACTCATGTGCTCTCTCTCTCTCAAATAAATACATAAAATCTTTAAAAAAAAAAAAAAGACCTGAGCTGAGATAAAAAGTTGGACACTTAACCAACTGAGCCACCCAGGCATCTCTGTTTGGGAAACTGTTTTCTCTCCTCCTAGCCTTGCTGGATAGAATATTCTTGGATGCAGGTTTTTTCCCTTTCAGTACTTCGAATGTATCATGCTACTCTTTCTGGTTTGGAAGGTTTCTGCTGAAAAATTCCAATGATAGCCTAATGGGGCTTCCTTTGTATGTAGCTGTCTCCTTTTGTATTGGTACTTTTAGTATTTTTTTTCTTTAGTAAATGTTGCCATTTTAATTATGATATGTCTTAGGATGGATATGCTTTTGTTGATTTTGTTTGGGGTTCTCTGTTCCTCCTGGATCTGGATATCTGTTTCCTTTCCTAGATTAGGGAAGTTTTCAGCTACTATTTCTTCAAATAAATGTTATGCCCCCTTTTCTCTTTCCTTTTTGTGGGACTCCTATAATACAAATGTTACTTTGTTTGATGGAGTCACCAAGTTCCCTAAGTCTATTCTTGTTTTGCATAATTCTTTTTTTCTCTCTTTTGTTCAGCTTGATTACTTTCCATTACTCTGTCTTCCAGGTCAGTAATTCATTCCTCTGCTTTTCTGAGCCTGCTATTCATTTTATCAAGTGTGTGTTTCATTGTGTTCATTGAGTGCTTTATCTCTGCTATGTTATTCCTTATCTCTGTGTTAATGGTCTCACAGATATCTCCATTGTTTTCTCAGGTCCAGAGTGTATCCTTATGATCAATGCTTTAAATTCTCCATCAGCCATGTTACTTACACTTAGATTTCTGGCTGTAGCCTTGTCCTGTTCTTTTATCTGGGACAAATTCCTCTGTCTTCTTATTTTGTCTAAGACTCTGCTTGTTTCTGTATGTTAGGAAAGTCAGCTATGTCTCCTGTTCTTGAGGGCAATGGTCTTGTGAAGAAGAGGTCCGTGGTGCCCTGCTGTGTAGTGTTTCCTGTTCCCTTGGGCCTGGCACTTCCAGAAGTGACTCCAGTGTGTACTATGTATACTCTGCTCTTTTGTCCTGACCACTTTATCCTGTAGGCTAGTCATTTCCAGAGGCTCTCTTTGCCTGTTGTGGGCGTGTTTGGTCCCAGGCCTGAACGTGGTATGTTTTAGCTAGGTGGGCTCTGGTCTGCATTTTATTTCACTTTATTTTCATTTATTTATTTGACAGAGAGAGAGAGAGATCACAAGTAGGCAGAGAGGCAGGCAGAGACGGTGGGAAGCAGGCTCCCAACTGAGCAGAGAGTCTGATGCGGGGCTCGATCTCAGGACCCTGAGATCATGACCTGAGCCGAAGGCAGAGGCTTAACCCACTGAGCCACCCAGGCACCCCTATTTTCTGTCTTTTTTTTGTTGTTGTTGTTACTTTATACTTGATTCTAGATATTTTACTAATTATCTCTTTGGTTGTGTCTAATAATCTCTTGTGAAACCCGTCAGTGAGTTATTTTCAGGTGTTTTATTTTTATAGCTTTAGCATTGTATTTGGTTCTTTTTCTGAGAGGTTTGGGGAAGGTTCAGGGCCTGAAGGGTCTCCCTCCCCAACCCTGGGGGATCCTATCTCAAGGTACTGTTCGATGTGCCTACCACTGGGAGGAAGATGTTGAGAACAAGGTTAACTACTCACCTGCCAAGATAGCAAACAGGCCTGGGAGAAAAAATTCACCAAAGATATGCTGGGACCATGGAGGAATCAGTCCCTTCCCTGCCACCTGAGGTTGGCAAATTCCCTCAGCAGAGGAAATAGCCAGGGATGGTCAGCTCATTCTGAAAGAGTGCTCTCCTCTCTGAAATTGTTCAATAACTTTAAAATTGGGAATTTTTTTTCCTAGGAGGTGGTGGTAAAACATTCTCTTTTTCTAGTTGTTGTAGTAGGAGTGTTGGCCTGTGCAAACTTGTAAGTTCTACACAAAAAATAGAAGTGCTGTTATGTTCTCCTGATATTTCCTTTTAGTCTCTCACCCTGAGTTTCACTGGAACGAACAGTCTGCGTTCTGTTTCCTCTTCTGATTTAGAAATTTTATGTTTTATTCCTGCTTTCTTGGCTTCTTTATAAATTTCAACAATTTTAATTTAAACATTAATAATTATGTAACTCCTTATCCCTCAGTGAGACAAAGGCTTTGTTTTGCTTTATTTCATCCCCCTACTTTCTTGCTCCTTGGTTCCTTAAGTGGCTGTCAGCCCTTTAGTCTGGCATCCTCGACTGAATTTTCCACCTTGCAGCTGGAGGACTCTCTCGGAAGTGAACACCCCTCTCCAACTGAAAACCTTCCAGTGGCTTCCCATAACCCTTACAATAAAGTCCAGACAGCACATTAGGTGCTGTCTGGACTCTGCCACCCTTTCTGTCTTCATCTAAAAAATCCCTTTCCTAAACTACAGAAATATCTGGGTCGAGTCAGCCCAGTTACAACTGCCTGCGCTGCCACATTGGTTCATGCCTTTGCCCCTTCTTTTCATTCCTGACCATCCCAATCCAGACGGTAGAGGGAATTATCACGCCCTCCATCTGCCTTTTCCTACCCCAGCAAGCCCCTTGAGGGCAGGGACTGTGTCGTCTTTATCTTGGTGTTCCCAGCACGGAGCTGGAATGCAGTAGAGGATGAGTAAATCTTGTTGAATGAATGCATGGAGGAAGGAATAAGAAGGCTTATATGCTGAGATAGGCCTGGGGTTCCCAGGGCAGGAATGGGGGCAGCCCTGGGGAGATCCTCTGGGAGGACTTACCCGGAGGTGCTTCCACATGGCTGCTCAGTAAAGTAAGACAAGTACTTAAAGACAAGGTGGCTGTGTTAGTCAGAGACAGTTTGAGTACAAAAAGCAGAATCCTTCTTAAGTTAGAAAAAAAAAAAAAGAAAGGCAGGGGGTATGGGAGGAGCCTTGTAGGTTAGAGAGCACTGGTCTGTTATGAAGCTACAGTCAGTGTCTCAGCCCCTTTGCCTGCTACAACAGAATACCAGAGATTGGGGCCTCAAAAACAATAGAAATTGGGGCGCCTGGGTGGCTCAGTCAGTTAAGCGTCTGCCTTCAGCTCAGGTCATGATCTCTAGGTCCTGGGATCAAGCACCATGTCGGGCTCCCGGCTCAATAGGGAGTCTGCTTCTCCCTCTCCCTCTGTTTGTGCTCTCTCTGTCTCTCAAATGAAAAATAAAAAATACTAAAAAATATAAATAAACAACAGAAATTTACTTCTCACAGTTCTGGAGGCTGGGAAGTCCATGATCAAGGTGCTGGCAGATTCGCTATCTCCTGGGGGCCCACTTCCTGGTTCTTAGGCAGCACCTTCTTGCCGTGTTCTCACGTGGATAAGGGGGTGAGGGAGCATTCTAGGGCCTCTTTTATAGGGGCATTCATTCATGAGGGCTCTGTCCTCATGACCTAATCACCTCCCAAAGGCCCTACGTCCTAATCCCATCACATTGGGGGTTGGGTTTCAATGTGGGGGGATACAAACATTCAGACTGTAGGGCTCATGAGGACGGCCAGGCTGCGTAAGGACTGATAGCCATGTCCTTTCCTCTTTGGGACTTTGTGGCTTTCATCAGAGCTTCTTTGTGAACCTGCTTCACAAAGCTTTCTCTGCACACTGGGGAAAACAATAGGATAGGGTAGGACTTGGATCACAAGTCTGCACACTGGCTTTCTCTGCTTTCTTGTGCATCTGCTGGAAAATGGATGCATTGGGCCTACCTGAGTTTCTGGTTTGGGCACTCTAGGACTGCCTGAAAGCCGTCCTGTCCTGTCCCACTTATAACTGTGGGGCCTGGGGCGCCTGGGTGGCTCAGTGGGTTAAAAGCCTCTGCCTTCGGCTCGGGTCATGGTCCCGGGGTCCTGGGATCGAGCCCCACGTCGGGCTTCCTGCTCGGTGGGGAGCCTGCTTCCTCCTCTCTCTCTCTGCCTGCCTCTCTGCCTACTTGTGATCTCTGTCTGTCAAATAAATAAATAAAATCTTTAAAAAAAAAAAATAACTGTGGGGCCTGAAGCCCTGGACCAGGTACCTTGGCCACAGGCAGAGAAGGGTCACATGACTGTCTAACGGTTGTGCTAGCAGGGGTGAGGGTGGGGCAGACCGATTGATGGACAGCCACCAAGTGATGTGAATTTGCAAAATTAATTTTCAGACAATTATTGAATAATACAATTCTGTTTGTATGGAGTTGAGATTCTTTTTTTCCCCTTGCTTTTCTTTGCAGTTCTGAAAAACTCACCTGTTCAGAAAAGAAACGTCTGCCTGATAAAGAGAACAAGAATACTGACCCAAGTCAGACTGCTTTTGAAAGGAAGTTTCATTCCTCAAAGCTCAGCCAGGAGAATAAAAGGGTTGAGAAGAACTGTGTGGTGAGTGGACAAGATCTGCGGGGAACAGGGTGGGGATGGCCCAAGTTTGCAGCGTGCACGAGACAGCAGACATTGATTGTGGAATCTGAGCCGTTGACAGAGCCCTCCTTCTCCCATGGCTTCCCTAGGGCAGAGAAGGCAGGAGCCAAGGAAGGGAGTGAGAGAAAGGATGCAGAAGAGGCTTCATTTAATGCACAAGAAACGATGGGTTTGCCTTTGGGCTTGGTGCTACTGCATAGATGAGACAGCCTCTGGCAGGGAGCCTGGGGTCTGGAAATTCAGAGAAGGAGCATATTGGGGAACCCTGGACCCTGCTTTTGGGGGGACAGATTGTGCCCATACAAGATGAGAGAAACTCTGGCCACAGAGTTCTGCCCTCTGAGATCTCAATTTTTTCTGGAGTTTTTGCTCTTCCGCCAACCATATCCAACCCAGACCAAAAAAAATTTGTTCTCCTTAGGGTGGTCACAATAGGTGGGAATCTTCTGAAATGAAATTTATACTAAAAATTAGGCCAAATGATGGTTTAGATACATGAAAGTTATTTTTTATGTAAGCATTTTCCACGAACAGGTTTCTTATCAAGAGCTCACGATCTGACTGGCACATCTTCCCTTCCATCCTCTCATCTTCCCACATCCTGTATCCTAGTGCCCGAGGGTGAGGAGGCTTCCAGCTGCCCCGGAACTGTAAGGGGTTCATGACTGTCGGGAGGGCAATGGATCTGTGTGTTCACCAACCGCCCCGCTCTCGCCTCCAGCACACACAGGACGAGGGACTAGTTTTCTTGAGCATGAAAATCTTGTTAGATGTTTTGTGATCCAAGTCCTACCCTATCCTGTTGTTTTCCCCAGTCTCTCAGAAATGGATTCTCTTTATATGGTTGTTTCCATAACACTTTCCTCAGCAAATTTTTTTTAAAGATTTTATATGTTTGAGAGAGAGAGAGGAGAGAGCGAGAGAGAGAGAGACAGCACAAGCAGGGGGAGAGGCAGAGGGAGACGCACACTGCCCACTGAACAGGGAGCTGGATGTGGGACTCGATGTGAGGACTTTGGGATCATGACCTGAGCCGAAGGCTGCTGGTTAACTAACTGAGCCACCCAGGGCCCCCGTCATCAATGTCTTCTGTGGATAATTCCGAGAGCCAAGCCCCGTAGTCCTGAACGGGACTGGTCAGCTCTGTCCTTCTGGCAGGGTAGCCTGACTGCTGTTACCAAAAGAGCCCAAAAGTGGAGTGTGGTTTACACACGACAGAAGTTTATTTCTCGCTCAGGTACCAGAACAGGGTAGGTTGGAGGCTGTCCCTCTTCCATGCAGTCCTCTTGCTGAGGGAACCTTTGTCATCTTCAGTGCCCAGGTTCCAAGGTTGCCCTGGGGAACTCCTTCCTTCCACCTGAAGAGGGAAGAGGTCATGAAGCAGTGCTCCCCTGGGAGGGTAGGTGGGCCAGGTCCAACCAGTGAGGACCCGTCACATGGCTGTCCCCAACCATAGGGAGGTTGGTGCTGGGAAGAGTAGCCCCTCTCTGCTCTGAGCACAATGGCAGAGAGAGCGAGTGTTTTGTGGAGAACTGGTTATCTCTGTCCCCCCACAGAAAGCTTAGTACCGTGTGGAGTCCAAAGACCTAGGACTTGGGCTGAGCGTTGGCTGAGCATTGCAGAAGCCAGAGAGCAGGGGAGAGGTGAGGGGAGGGCTGCCTGGAAGGTCCCAGCTCAGGCAGGAGGGTCGAGTGTTGGGTGGGATCCTCTGAGGCCCTCCTCCCTGCCCGTCAGCCCCCTTCCCTACCCTACACTCAGCGCTTCCCTCTGTTCCTAGGTTGGAGGAATAGGACAGCACAGACCATGCTCGGGGGGGCGGCTGGGGAAGGCCAGCATAGGTGGGGGGCACAGCCCGTGGAAAGAGGGATGACGGCCGAGGTCCTGGGGTGGCACCTGGCCTCCCTGCAGCTGGGGCTCGGGTGAGGCTGCCCGGAACCGCGCCGTCCGCAGGGAGGCCACCGGCAGTAAAGCTCCGCCGAGCTTTAGCTTGTGGTCTGTGCAACAGTTAAAACGCTGCGACAGCGTTTCTCTCTCCAGGTACTGCGAGCCGTAAGCACACAGTAATCGTTACGGTTTATTGAGCTCCTGTTGTGAACTAGGTGAGGTGTTTTATGGACGCAGAAGCTTTGACCGTAAGACAGTAGTCGTAGCTCCTGTTACATGAAGCTCAGGGGGGTTCGGTAACTTGTTCAAGGTCAGCTGCATCGTCGAAAGCGGCAGCGTTCTTGATTCCAAGTCCAGGCCCTCCGGTGCCAAAGCACTGGTCTGCTCACCAGAGCACATGCCCTTCTCTCCCATAACGCCAGTCAAGCTGGTCAGGATTCGGGTCCCTTTCAGAGGGTGGTTATCCTGCGGGTTGGTGCGCCAGTGTCCTGATCCTGAGGGGCACGGACGGCGGGGTAGGGGTTGCTGGGCGTCCCTCGGGTCTGCTCAGTCCTTCCCCGGGGGATGCAAGGAGTCTAAAGGCGCAGCCCGTTCCCTCACCCTTCAGAAAATCAAGCTCACGATTCAGTCAGGAGAGAACTTGATTTCTTAAGAGGCAGAGCTGCATTCCCAGGTCAAAGCAGGTGACTGGCGTTGCTGGGAATACAGACATCGAATGTCCTCCGGAGTTTCAGAGAAGTTATCCGACTCACGTCCTCTAGGCTCCTGCCCTGAATCTGAAGAGAATCCTGACGTATGCAGACCGGGAGAGAGGGCTCTGGCCCTAGCTCAGCCCAGTGAGAATGCAAGTCCCCACCACCCTGGGAAAAGGATTATTCTGTAGGTCAGGTCAGAAGTAACCCAAGAACTGGTTTTAAACCAGCCGGACCCACCAGTGAGCGTCTCAGGCTTTAGAAGTCCGGGCAGAGGCAGACTCAGACGCTGACCTGTATCTGCTTCCCAGGACCCTATGGGAGACCCTCTAGGAGATCAGCGAGGCTGTGCCTGACCAGCCAAACTTTGCCTTAATTGATATATCCAGTTGTTTTGGTTTCAGATGTTGCGTGGCGTCTCCTCTGCTGACACTGGGCCATATTTCTTTTACATCTAAGTTGTAACAAGTCAGTGCCCAGGATTAATACCTAGAATGATGATTTTTTTTTTACTTGAATATTCTGAATTATGTTTTCTAGCTTTTTTTTTTTTTTTTTGCTCAGTGATTACGTTGAGACAGAAGTGGGGGCTGGGGAGGAGGGACACTTGGACCTTTCCTGTTCTTTCAGCTTCCTGAGAATCAGGGCTCCCGCAGCCCGTGTGGTTCTTTCCAAAAGTCAGCTGTCGGTCCTGCTGCACTCACGAGCCCGGGACTTAGTGGGTAAGACCTTATTTTTATCAACGTTCAAAACAAATTTCATACTCCAAACTCGAGCCCAAACAAGCAGCTCAGACGGTGCGTATGTGGCTCCGACAGGACAGCGAAGGGGAGAGGGGCTGCGAGAGGGCCCCTCTGAGGGGCCTGCTCAGGAGGTTTAATGTCTGTGCATTTTCTGGAGTCCCAAGTTACCCCCGAGGTTCCTGCTCACCTGGCAAGCAGAAGGACTCAGAGGGTCTTGCTCCCACAGAGGTCAGCAGTCTAGCCACCTAAGATGACCAAGCCCAGAAACAGTAGGTGAATGGACCGGAGTCCTAGAGCAAGTAGGAGTCAAGACGAGGCTGCAGGGTCTCCTAGGCACGCCCCACCCCCATGCTGCCCTTGGTTTTGCCACTGTTGTAGAAAGAAAATTTGGTTTCATTACCAGCAATCCCTGAAGTTACCTTTTAATTTTTTAAAAAAGATTTTATTTATTTGAGAGAGCCAGCGGGACACCACAAGCAAAGGGAGCAGGACAGGGAGGCACAGACTCCCAGCTGAGCAGGGAGCCCAGTGTGGGACTTGATCCCAGAACCCTGGGATCATGACTTGAGTCAAAGGCAGACACTTAACCGACTGAGCCATCGAAACTTATGTTTTAAGAGCCTTTCAGGTGGAACATAAATCAGTCAAATTTTGAAAGAAGTTACATTCATAAACTTATATTTTTATTCTTTCTGTACATATTGGCAATGATAAAGCTTAAAGATGCATGTCCTATGAAATAGGCAAAACAAGGAATTTACATAAATAATTTATATTTCAGAAAATTAAAGTTGAAAAATATTTCCATATCATTGGAGTTCACAGTATTTAAAGTAAATCAAGCTTTCCCGTTTATATTTCAAACTCTATTGTCTCAGCAGAGATGATAAAATCTAATCGAGAACAAAATGATCAAGTTTGTGTTTTTGTTCAGTGCAGAGAGCAAGACCGACTTCAGCACGAGGCTATGCCCGCGCCGAGGTGGCAGTGCTTCTCCCCAGTCCTCCACCTCCTGAGCGCCTATGGCACGGCACCACCCCCCCCGACTCCCGGCCCAGGCCCCCCGGCAGGGGATGGCTACAGTGTCACCAAAACCACCCGCCCTGGGTACATTCAACCACGGGACAGTGTCCAGTGTTCTGATGCCTCATTTCCACTTAATACTTTTTATAGCCCTGAAAATGGAAACCCTGGCATCTAAACACAGCCAGAGATGTTAACACTAATACAAGGCACTGTGCTATGGGTTTGGTTTATTTATAGGAAAGATCATGGTTGCATAGATTGCTAGCAATTTAGTGTGCAAGAAAATCGCGCCGCCGCGCGTGGCCCGTGATGGATGAAGCCGCAGTGCTCCTTCGGCCCAGGTGCAGCACCGGCCATCTGGCTCTAGCCCCGGCCTTTTGGGCAGATCCCTGAGCCCTCTACAGGAGAGTTTTTTGCTCAAAAAGCTGTAGGTCAAAGCGGACCCAGACCTCTCCCGTGGGGACCTCGTGCAGCAGGAGTCGGCGGGTTGTGGGGCCTTTGCTTTCCTGTTCTGTGCGAATTTTTGCCACCGGAACCTCAGTACGACCCAGGAAATCTGGTGAAAAGACATACCAGAGTCAAAGTTCCTTCTTTATAAAAGTCGTTAAAGAAAACTACTAGGAGTATCTGAAGACATTCTTATAACTTTCAGATCCAGCCCAGTGGCTGTCACTGCGACTGGATGTGTGCAGAACGGGGGGGTGTGGGAGGAGACTGCCTCGTTGGGCTCCAAGTCTCTACAGTCAGAGAAGGCGTCAGCCACTCAGGAGGTGCTGGGAGCAGTGCTGTGCTACTCTGTAGGGAGGGACTGGGGGCCCTAAGGGAAACACTCCAGAGGGCACCCTTTACCCTGGAGAGAATCCCCCTCCCCAGCCTTGCTTCTCCCCACGGGCCCCTGTCCTTTTCCTTAGGTGTCATGGGGTAAAAATGAAGCCAAGTACCCTGGACCTAGACCCCAAATTCTAGAGTACAGGGGAAACTTTGGGTTCCCTGGTCGAGTTATACTGTACCATCCGGTGAAAACTGGTCTCTGTCAAACATGGTGAGACACAGCACATCTTGGTAGAGATCCTTAATAAAGAACTGGCAGTTAAAGTTCCACTTGGGATTGAGTGTGTCCGGGAGGGTCCTGGTGGTATAGCTCTGGGAGCCCATGCTGATTTCACAGTATGGATTGCTCTTTCCTGAACAAAAAACAAAGCAAAGACGCATGTGGCATGTGTGGGTAGAATAAAGGACACCAGCACCTTCCTTGAGCAGAAGCAGGGTCCAGACCACGAGATCAGGAGTCACCCTGGGGGCCCAGATCTGCCCGGCAGTCTCCGTGTGCCCCGTACCGACAGCAGCACAAGCCTGGAGCACCCGTGCGGGCTCCCGAGTCCCAGATGCCTCCCACGAGCCCGGGCAAGTGTCTCAGCGCGGCTTCCGCTCAGACGCGCTGAGGAGGGAGGCACTGGAACTTACTGGGAAAACACTCCGGTGATAATATGGGTCCAACAACCATTTTAGTGGCAGTGGAAACACTGATTTTTTCAAAGTGTCCCATTAGTCAACGTTCAGAAGAGTCACCACAAAGAACAGAGCAGTTACCACATCTGTTGAACAGGAGAAGCATTTACCATTTGGTTTACAGGCTTTTAATTCTGTAGCTTCGATGACCTGCACCATCAGACGTCCAATGCCTGAAGTCTTTTGCGAGCGAGCTACAAAAGAGGAGGAAGCCCGGTTAATTTCTTCTCTGAGTGTGCAGGTAGCGCACGGAGGACACGGAGCTCCAGACCTAATGCTCCCCTGCCGCCCCTGCCACGGTGCTGGGCCTGGCCGACCAGCGTCTGGCTGTTCTGCCTTTGCCCAGGCTGTGTCCCTGCTGGGGCGCCTTGTCCGCTATCCCTGCTTGTCTGCATCCTACCCGGCCTTGAGGATGCACACGGCCCATCTGGACCCCCATCTCTGCCCCCTGCGCGCCCGTTATCCCCAGCTTCTGCGCGTCCCGCAACTTCCTCTCCGGGAGAGGCCGCTGCAGAGCTCGTGTGTATGCAGCCTTGTAGTAACGCTCCGTTGCCTAGCGATGGTCACAGTAATAAAATAATACATTCTATCCATTCAGCACTTAAAAGCAGCTAACATTTATTGGATACTTTGTGTCAGGCACCGTGCTAGACCTCTACAAAAGTTTTATTATTTAAACTGCACAATTACGGATCTGGTAGCTGAGAACTGCCATCTCCACGTAGGACAACCGAGTCTGACAAAGGACTGTGACCACCCCGGTCACAGAGGCTGTCAATGGCAAGGTAAAAAAAAGTCACCACCAGGTACCAAAGGCTCTTAGCCACCGTCATTCCAGTCACATGTAAACACTTCAGCTTATGAAGCAGTTTCACTTAAGACCTTGCTCTATTTTGAGGATGTACTCAAAACCCTTTCATATGGAAGGGAATGAGTCTGTGAACTCGGGATTATCTTGGTAAATATGAAGTTAAGCAGGTTTTGCTCTCAAGCATTTAAAAATGAACAAAAGGCTGCTCGTGAGCTATTGATTTTTCAAAACTTAGGGCGTGTAAAACTTTATGACAAGTGGTTCCCGCCCTCCATGCCAACTTCTCCAGCGCGGCACTTACACTCCGTTCCCCTTAAAGACAGGGCCGGCCATACTCATCTTTGAAGGCCCAGTTAGGACTAGCACAGAGCTTGGCACAGAGTAAGTAATAAATGTCTAAAGAATTTAACATAGAGAAAATGCGTAACAGTATATATAGATATTGATGTTAAGCAAAACTAATAGAAACACTGATTTATGTCTTTGACCAATTAAGAGATCGTTATATGCTTTACAGATCATTCAGTCGTTGATTCTTCAATAGCAAGCGTCTGAAGTACCATTAAAACAAGATTCAATCAGCAAAAGCCAATATGCACATACCTTTCAAGAGATATAACAAAATAAGGGGAACCTGAATAAAAAAAAGAGTTGCAGCTACAGCAGGGGAACGTGAGGGGGAGGCCTGGACAGGGAAGGCCTGGGGGCGGGCATGGGCAGGGCTTCCGAGGAGGGCGGTTCGGTCAGGCAGTGGTGGGGGCAAGGCAGAGGGAAAGGAGAAGTGGGGCTGTGCCCTGAATCTGGGGTAGGACATTACCCTTAATTTGGGAGGCAACAGGGAAGACGCTTAGCAAGGAGATTAAGCCCTGTAAGAAGAATGCTCTGGAAATGAAAGGGAAGGGCGATGGGGGGGCCTTGTGCCAGGGTGGAGGTTAGAGGGTCTTAACTGGGTTGTGCCACCGGGGAAGGACCAGGACGAGGGAAGAGAATGATAGAAGGTGTGCGACGCGGCCTCCGAGTAGCGGAGCGCGTGCCTGCAGTGTGCGTGGCGGGGACACCACTGCCATTCCCAGGGCTTCCCGGGAGATGCCAGGGTGCGAAGCCCAGCAGGCGGCCGGGAGAAGTTGCGGTGTGTCCGGAGTGTGGGCTCAGGGAAGCAGCCCAGCATGACTTTATGAAACAGCAGAGGGACAGAGAAGCTTAGGCGAGGGCGGCTCCGGGTAGAACGAGGAGCCGCTTTGACTTCTGCCATCCGGGGCAGGGACCTCAGAGTGAGTGAAGCCATGGGTTAGGTCACGGGTGTCAAGTGAGGGGGCCATCTGCACACGATGGGGACAGCAAGTGAGGCGAATGGCGTGTGAGGAGGAGGAGAGCCCTGAGATCTAGGCCCGGGTGTCAGGGAGGAGGATGGGTGGACGTGGAGGGGGGCTGGGGCGGGCGCCCAGGTGGGAGAGGAGGAGCGGAGCCGAAGGCAGACAGGCCACAGACGTGAAGTTGGGTGAAGCAAAACGGACCAAGCAAAAGTGGGCTTGGTTGTGCAAAGGACCTTCTTCCTTTGCCATAAGAGAAGCGAGGTCCCCGGGCTGGCATGGGATGTCCCCCAACTGTGTGGTGGGTAGGGGGTTCAGGGAGGCCCCGAGGGCGGCAGCAGCCAACGGGATCACAACTGCCTGGTCCCCCAGCAAGTCTGTCCTTCAGGCTGTCGCTGTTTAGCCCCCTCGCTGCAGAAGCAGCAGCTTGTGTCCTGAGGGTGGGGCCTGTCCCCCTCCCCGGGGTCCCCTGGCAGCTGCTTCCAACCCTCCAGGGCACCACCAAGTACCTTGATAAGCTTTTTCCCGTTTCTTCTTTTCCGTGTCGATGTACTGCTCAGAGGCCGCCTTGATCTTCTGGACCCAGGCAGTCCTGGAGAAGCAGAGCACAGCCGTGGGGTGGCTTTCCCGCACGCCTCCCGGGGCCGGCCAGGAGCGCCGAAGCTCGGCCCTCGCTCGGCTCTCCTGCGCCGCCCTCGGCTTTGACAAGTTTCCCATCACAGACCGAGTGTTAGTTCAACCGAAAGACTTGTTCGCTACTTGAAGATCAAGCTGGGGTTTGCGGGCAGCTACTGCTTTACAGAACACCAGGCACCGGCAGGGTGCTGGCACCCGGGAGGAGACGCAGGGCGCCACCGCAGTGGCAATTCAGCACGACAGAGGGACACTCGACCTGAAAGCAAAGAAGCTAGCGCACAGAGGAGGGGGCGGGCCCCGTCTGCCATCACAGAGGTGGCCGTGGAGGATGGTGGCTGGCCCGGCAGAGAGCAGGGGCAGAGGGCAGGAGCGCTGCGCTCCACACCAGGCGGGCAGACATCCTGGGGGGTGGAGGATGGGGCCGGGGCTGAGACACACACACGGGCCTCAGAGACCGGGTGAAGGAGCCCGGCCTGCCGCACGAGGGATTTTAGCAGGAAGCAAGGTGCTGGATCTCCCGTTTTGGAAGATCCTGAGGAGAGACCGAGGCAGGGACACAGGCTGAGCTGATGGCAGCAAGCCGGCACGTCCACACCGAGGCTGGCCGGTGGGACGGGGCTGGGCGGGACCCGTCAGGGGAGCCTGGGGTGCAGAAGGAGCAGCACTCGAGCATGTCTGCAGGCGGCTAATGGGAGGGAGCCGTCTAGGCTTCAAGGCAGGTCACAGGTGGTCAGGACTGACCTCTCGTTAATGTTGTCTGTTCGGAGGGTGTAGACCCGGTCAATGTGAGAAATGTGGAAGACGGGCTCATCGCTGGAAGGGTCTGTGGGCAGTTTCACCAAGACTTCGTTCAGGAAAATGGGCTGAAAGAGTTAGGGCCGAAACACAGGCTGTGAGATGGGCCAGAACCCTCCACCTGCCTACATCTCCAGAGAGCGCTGTCTGTTCCGAAGAGCTTTGTTTTTTTGTTTTTTAAAGATTTTATTTATTTATTTATTTACTTGACAGAGATCACAACCAGGCAGAGAGAGAGGAAGGGAATCAGGCTCCCTGCTGAGCAAAGAGCCCAATGCAGGGCTCGATCCCAGGACTCTGGGATCATGACTTGAGCCAAAGGCAGAGGCTTTAACCCACTGAGCCACCCAGGTGCCCCTGAAGAGCCTTGCTGAGAAGCAGAGAAGAGGCTGGTTTCTCGAGTCTTCTACTTAGGGAAAAAGAGACAGTGTCCATTTCGTGGAAGAAGCATGTTGGGCAGATCAGAGATTCCTGAACTGGGGACAGGAGTTCCGAGTGTCCACGGGACAGGGTCACTCAGCACTCTGCTCCCGCTTCAGTTTCACAGAGACCTGATGCTGAACGTGGATGGGGGCGGCGGGGGGGCTACATGTCAAGTTTGTCAGGGAGGAGGCCAGAGCCCACAGCTGGAGTCCAGCCATCAGCTGGACCAGTCCAGCCAGAGGTTAGTGAGGGCCCCGCCACACTGGGCCTTCCTCCCTGGGACGTTACGAAGGGGGAGTGACCTATCTGGAGACGGGGGAAGAGAGTCACATGGGGACAAGGAAGGCTCAGGCCAGGAAGGAGGTCCTCGAGGTGACAGAAACACCTCGTTACGCTCCTGACGCCATGGCCAGGGACGTGACACTTACCGTTTTATACATTTTGAACTGGGCATTGGACTTAGAGTTGAAAAGCTTCTCAGAGCCTGAGGAAACAGCAAACTGCTTGACCATGTAGGTCAGGAGCAGAAAGTCGTTGAAGAGGAATCCATGTAGCTCCTTATTGCTCTTGGTCTTATATAACTTTCCACTGTGCAGAAGCTTCCGGGGCCCCAGGCAGTTGGTGAGGGAGTTGAAAATCAGTTGCTTAAAGAGAAATTGTCACTTTGTGAGTCCTAGCACAAGCCATCCCCATGCCCCGTGGGAAGCCAGTGCCCGGGACCTGAGGTGCTGTGGTAGAATCTTGTAGTTGGGAAGGTGGCTGGAACCATTCACCTTGACACAAAAGATCCTTGTGTTTATTTTTCCTCAGAGTTCAGAGTGGCATCGTGAAAATGATCACTCAGAGCCACAGAATATGGATCTTAACAGGTGGATTCAAGGAAATCAAAATATCAAAGTTCTCTAAGAAAGGGAAATGACACCCCAGAAGGGACAAGACGGTGAGTCCCGGGGGCTGGGCTGAGGCAGATACTGTTCACAGGCTCTGGTTCCCCACCCAGAGGCTGCCCAGGGGGCCCCAGCTTAGCCCCACAGGGCTCACCTCTGCCAGACCGTCACACTGAACGTGGGCCTGGATCCACTCCAGCCGGTCGGAATTTTCTTTTTCCCGAACTCCTTCATTAACTTGGGAGCAAAGCTCCTCTGCCCGCTCAAGAGCCAGCTTTAGGGAGGAGTGGTCTACGTGATTCTCCAGGGTGTTCTCCAGAATCTGGAAAAGAGTGGGCCGCGTCATCCGGTGAGCAGTGTCACCCGCCCGCCCAGGCGTCGTGCTGGCTGCTGCACATGCTGGGCGCGGGCCACTGGCCGCAGAACTGCCCTTGAGGAGCTCACGGCTCCTGTGTTCCTGGGGAGACGGGGACTCAGGTAAAGAGCCTGTGCCAAGTGCTGCACAGATCAAGTGCCCTGAAACCTGTGGTCATCTAGGGCCTCTCGGTGGGGTCTTAGCAATAGGACCTGTGTGAAAGGGGCCTACCTGCCGCCCCCAGTCACTTGAGCCAGTGCCTTTAACCCACCAGGGGACCTGGCTGCCACTCTCACAGGGTGTGAACCTGCTGAAGGACAATCATGTGTAACATTCTGGGGGTCACTGGTCTTTTTAAAAAATCTGCAGAAAGCAATGAATCCTCTGCTACAGGAAAAATACAATAAAATCATGTCACCCCCTAGTAGGAAACACATTCAGTTCATTCCGAAGTGCCTTCAAACTAATGTTACAAATGCAAAAGAACAGAGGCGCATCCCCCTGTGTGGCCCCAGCAGCAGATGCCTCCTGACTGGACTCTGGTCACGGTGGGACCACAGTCCTCTGTCTACAGCTCCAAAATGGGACAAAGCCCTGAAAGTCTAACATGTTTTCCAATATTCATTTGGTGGCAAAACCTGACCTAGCCGGAAGAGAGGCCTTTATTTATTCTACTCGGAAGTGATGACTCATGTACGTCACTGTAGGAATACTACTGTGTTTGGTTAAAGGTGATGGCCAGGCTTTGTTGTGATGTCATATAACAGACAGTATTTGAATTACATTCTGAATTTTGAGACACATCTGGCTCACACTATTTCAGCTAAGGGCCTGTGGATGACTGTGTATTAAGGGGTCAGCTTGATATCATCACTGCGGCATGAGGTCCATACTGAGCCGACACGGTTTAGAGACCAACGGTCAAGGGATCATCCATAAAAGCAAGTCTTACACTACTTCTGCTGTTTTCTTTTGTAAGATGATTAAAATTGCATCCATGATTACTTATGGAAAGATACTTCTCAGAAGGCATACTGGCTCAAAAGGGCCACCTAGTTTCTGTTAAAAGATGGATGGCTTTTAGGACTGTTGAGTTAGCAAGCTGAGGTGGGCACGGCGTGATGAGCCCGGGTGAGGCTGTGCTGAGTCGGGGGCTCCTGAGACAATCCAGGTTCAGGTGTTCAGCTGGTAGAAGAATTCAGCTCTCACCCGAAAGACTGGAGTCCAGGGTTGTACTAGCAGAGGACTCTGTCTGGGCTCAAGACAGGCTCCGCAGCTGCAGACCTAGAGGGCAACCGCCCTGCCTAGAAAAACACACTCCTGACTCTGAGAGGCCAGCGGAGTTTCCTGAGGGAGGGGGCGCAGGTGACTCCAGTGACCCTGGTTGACCTGTATTTGCCTAATCCGGATGCCCATGTGTACTCGTGTGCGCACACATGGCCTGGCCCATCGGACCGTGTGGCCAGGGAGGCTGGCGCTCTCCCGGGCTCCCTGGCTAGGGCCTCCATGGCCCTCTGCGCCACCGCCGCTCCATCCCAGCCAGGGCACTCACGCTTCTGATGAGAAGAGGGTAGCGGGTGATCCTCTGCATGGGCTTCAGCAGGAAGCTGGACAGGGGCATCCCCTTACAGCGAGGGTCAGACGCCAGCTTCTGCAAAGAATGGACAGGTTCATGAGCGAATGTACCTTTGAGGAAAACAAAGGAAGCACCGACTGTATTCCTGATGTTGAGCACCTTGTAGATTTCTAATTTCTCTTAAAGACTCAGGATTTAAAAATGCTATGTCTCAGATGAACAGACCTCCGAGGGGAGGTCAAACTCCCTACCCCTGATGCTCAACCCAGCAGAAGCTTTCAGCTCTCTTTCTCACATGGATTTGTGCCTGTGCCATCTTTCCCTCCTTTGCTTCTGGAAGCACGGACCGCTGTCTTCCCAGCCGGCTCCTTCCCGATCACCACTTCTTTCCTCTCCTCTCCCAGCTCTTAAGTGATGGTGCTGCCCGAGGCCCCGTGCAGCGAAGTCCCGAGCGTCACCCAGACCCTCTCCAGAGCTTCATGCTTGCCGCCTTACTCTCCTTCCTACCTGGACCTCCCACTCAGTACCTCGGTACATCCCGAAGTCCTCACCTTCCTTCCCGAAAGCCTTCTCTTCCGCCTCTGTCCCTGCACCCACCCACCTTCCTTCCACACGCCGGGGAGTCCCCTTTCACGCCAGTCCATCTTCTAAATACCTCTTGATTCCCCCTGCCTCTGCCTGCCATTGTCTCTGCTTTGTTCGAAACAGTCACTACCGTTTACTGAGCACCTACGATGTGCCAGGTAACGAGTGCATTACCTTGGCTACTGTGCCTTCTCTCTCTCCACCTAGTTCATAGTCATTTCTGAAGACTCACATTATGCCTCCCCTTGGGCAGCCTCTCCCCTTCCTTGATGCTTTCCCTCCTTTGCAGTGATCCTTCTCGAGCCCCACAATAACCCGTGGACGCCTTTATGGTAACGCCACCTCTGGACTGGGTAAGACGGAGAGGGATCACGTTTGAGTTGTCTCCATGACCTTGTAGACTGTTAGCCCCAGGAGACTAAGTACCCCAACATATTTGCTTCTACTCTTATTAATATAGTACCTGAATAAGGTAGCTAGTATTCTTGGGTGACCTTTTTCTTTTTTTTAATGACCATTTGTAATGACTGAAAAGCACATTTATTATAATTTATTTGCCACGATGGGGTATTAAAACTGCTCCCTCCTTTTGTTTTTGGATATATCTAAGATGTATTTAGTTCTGTATTATCTGAGACTTTTTAAACAGTCACATTTAGAATGAATATTATTGTTAGATTTTGTTTTTAATATAATGTAACCGACACAATGCCTTTCATCACGAGACTATAAACTTATTCTTACTATTGTTAACAGGTGTGACGACACCGATACCCTATTTATACTGCAGCTGTTATTACTATTTGGAAAATTAAAAAAAACCTCTTACTCATGCTTTAGACGGTAAAGATCCAATTTTTTTTTTTTTTTTAATTTGACAGACAGAGATCACAAGTAAGCAGAGAGGCAGGCAGAAAGAGAGAGAGAGAGGAGGAAGCAGACTCCCTGCCGAGCAGAGAGTCCGATGCGGGGCTCGATCCCAGGACCCTGGGATCACGACCCGAGCCGAAGGCAGGGGCTTTAACCCACTGAGCCACCCAGGCGCCCCCAAGATCCAATTTCTTTTTAAAGATTTTTATTTTTAAGTAATCTTTGTGCCCAATGTGGGGCCTGAACCCATAACCCCGAAATCAAGAGTCACACGCTCTACCAATGAAGCCAGACAGGCACCCCTAAATATCCTTCATTCTACTATTATTTAAGACATTTGTATGCACTCACAGTCCCACATTTATCTACTTATTCTGACCAGTGTTTGTGTCTGTAATCTCGGTTCCCTTGTATGTTTCTTCTAGTTCATTTCTAAGCAAGCCGGTGCCTCCCACCCTTACTGCCAACTTCATGAAGAGTCAGTCCTCAGGGCCTTACTTAAGTCGAATCATTTTTGCATCCCGGATATCATCATAAGGAATGTAAATATAATTAACATTTATTGAATGCTTATACGTGCTGGTCTCTGCTAGAAAGTATTTTAAAAGTAATATCTGACCATCTCTGGGTTACACACTGGAGCCTGAAGGCACCAAATGTTAAGTAGCTTGCCTTGGTCACACGCCCCGCCCTCTGATTCTGAAGGCTGTTTTATTCTAGGATGATGCAATGTGGTCTCCTGGGATGATTCTATTTGGTTATGACAGACTCTTCTTTTCATGTGAGGTTTATTTTTATTCACTGATTTTTATTTTATTTTATTTTATTGTATTTTAAAGACTTTATTTATTTGACACAGAGAGAGACAGTGAGAGAGGGAATATAAGCAGGGGGAGTGGGAGAGAGAGAAGCAGGCTTCCTGCTGAGCAGGGAGCCAGATGCGGGGCTCGGTCCCAGGACCCTGGGATCATGACTTGAGCCAAAGGCAGACACTTAAGGACTGAGCCATCCAGGTGTTCCTATTTGCTGATATTTTAATTAAGATTTTAACAACTATATTTATAAGAGATATTGGGTTATAACTTTTTTCATTTTTGTAATTAAATACAAATGCAAATATAGGCTTTGGGGGTCAGGAACACTTTTGCCTTATACAGTGAATTAGATGGGTTTGTCTTTTTCTTTTTTTTTAACATTTTATTTATTTATTTGAGAGAGACAGAACGAGTAGGGGGTGGGCAGAGGGAGAGGGCAAAGGACAAGGAGACTCCCCATTGAGCAGGGACCCCCGAGATCATGACCTGAGCTAAAGGCAGACACTTAACCGACTGAGCCACCCAGGCGTCCCCAGAGTTATATTCTTAAATTGCAACCACCTTTAAATGGAGGAAGGTCTTTTTTTTTTTTTTTTTAGATTTTATTTATTTATTTGACAGACAGAGATCACAAGTAGGCAGAGAGGCAGGCAGAGAGGTTGGGCGGGGGAAGCAGGCTCCCTGCTGAGCAGAGAGCCCTATGTGGGGCTCGATCCCAGGACTCTGGGATCATGACCCAAGCGGAAGGCAGAGGCTTAACCCACTGAGCCACCCAGGCGCCCCCAGAGTTATATTCTATTAGTGCTTTTCAGTGTATCTGTTCTTAGATATATTGATATCATTTGTGCTTTTATCTTTATTACTTACTCCATTTTTTTGTTGGAATTTTTATCCTTTGCCTAAATGTCTTATATTCTATGCGTAATTATTTTTTCCATTCTTTTTTGATAATGAAGACATTAAAATGATGCATTCTCCCTTCAGGCACTGTGGCTGTAACAGACCCCAATATGCAGTATTTCAGAAACCAAAAACCAGGAAGACATGTAGAAAAGGAAGAAAATCGATTTGACTCTCATTTCTGTCACCACTTTAACATGTGTGGGAAGAGTGTGTATTGCCCAACACGAGCGAAGGTGTGTTCGCGTTCGCACGCTGGGCTGGGCTGCAGTACCCGCTGGGCATCTCGCTGCTGGATCTCTGGGAGGCTGTCGCTGACCCCTTACACTACCCACAGTGGTCTCTGACGGCCCTTCTAGCGTGACTGCACACCAAGGCTTTGTTTTTAATTTACGACCATGGCACCATGGAGCTGAATGTGTTCTCTCATTGGTTCCTGGATTTTTTTGAGGACATCAGGGTGCACGTGGAGCACATGGACAGAGTCACACGTGTGTGTTTAAGCAGCGTCCTAAGTCCTAGTGTCGCCCTTCTCCTCTCATTTCCTTTGGTCCCACTGTATGCATCCACTGACATTTTATCTTGTTGCTTTTGATACATCTGAGTAAGCTATTTTATGCTTTTTTTGGAATAAGATGGGTATAATTCACAAATTCAATATAAATTTAATAAAGTGACATTCTGGATATTTTTGGAGTATAAAGTAGCTGATTTAATAGGTTTAAATAATACTCTACTAATAGATGGGCAACATCATGGTCCCAGTGCCAAGAAAGGTCAATTCTACATGGATGGTAACACCAACACTCAAAACATTCTTTGCCATATTGGTGTTTCCTCTGGAAAGTGGGGGGGGGGTGCCCTTCCCCAGGCCGAGCCCCCTGACGGTACAGCGGTCTCTGCCTCCAGGCTCAGAACAGGGTGGCCTGCCCACGATCCCAGAATGGAGTTACCTTTAAAAATTCCTTGAACTCTGTGTCTTCGTCCGTCTTCTGCTGTAACAGAGCTGCTCCGTTCAGCTGACAGCTACAGAATCGGATGTAAGCCTGCATGTGGGACAGCTCAGCGGCCAGGATGTCCCCGATCATCTGCACGGGCATCTTCTCTCCTCCCGTCTTCTTCCGGACCCGCAAGGCCCTGCAACCAACACACTCCCACGGTCAGTTTCTAGCGAACGTCGTCAGTAAATAAAGGATGAATATCATGGGAGACTAAGGTAATGAGAACCAGTGAGTTACCTAAACACCTGGCACTGTGAGGGGAGAGTCAGAAGGAGGAGGCAGCGGGGGCCTACGTTCTGCTGGCCAAGCCAACCTGGGTAAAACGTTAGCAAAGAAGAGTAAGAAAACGGAAGTCTGTACACTTGGGTATTTCTAGGTCCTTGGAATTGCTTTGGATTCGTTTTTGGTTCTTAGCAAACTTCCTTTAGAGGAATTCTAATGTGTTCTCAGCTGAACCAAGAAGAAAGGAATTTTCTACACTCTGTGTAGGGGAAAAAGGGAGCAGGAGCCCACAGAGGCCAGGCATGGAGGGAGAGGTAAGCACTGTCCTCAGGAGAGCTGCTGTGTGTGCCCTGAGGAGGGCAGAGATGCAGCAAGGGCTGGGCTGGGCGTGCTGAGTCCCCTGCGCCCTGGAGTCCATCCTCACAGGCGAGGGGGTTGGGAAGTCACCCCAAGGAATGGAATTTCACGCAGGGACTGAGGAGACCGCCAGACCAGCCAGTATGCCTGGGGCAGGAGCTACAGCTTCTCTCCTACTCTAACTAGAGTCAAGCAAATTTTGAAATCCTATGTTAATATACTATTTTATGATTTAATTTTTTTTTGTCCAAGTTTTTTCTTTGTTGTATTTCTCAACTTCAAGAATTATGTATTTTACAGTTACGGGGCATGTCATAAAATGACAATAAAATAAAGAGCTTGAGGGAGCAGAGAACAATTAAAAGTTCCTTTGCTAAACAGCCCTGTGGGGAGTCAAGTGGGGACGTCCTGGTCCTGGGGGCTGTGGGTGTCCACTGCCGGGGCGGGAGTTGCTCACAACTCACTTCAGCAGCTTCGTGTTACACATGATGAGCTCCTTCCAGTTTACAAAGATTAAGGCCATTTCTCCTTCAGCGAGAAAGCCTGACTCCACCATCCGTTTCTGAAAAACCTAAATTCAAGACACAAAAGAAATGTTAGCTGGGGTGTGAATACACAGGCTATGTGGTCTAAATCAAACAATAACTTCACATACCGAAACTAATATGATCATGATGTTTTTAAATAAGCCTACTTATGATTGCTAAATTTCCCCCCCCAATTTTAATTTAAATTCTAGTTAGTTAACATAGAGTGTAATACTGGTTTCAGAAGCAGAATTTCGTGATTTGTCACATATATATAACACCGAGTTGACTGCTAAATTTTATTTTATTTATTTATTTGAGAGAGAGAGTACAAGCATGGGGGGTTGAGGGGGAGAAGGAGGGAGAGAATCTCAAGCAGACTCCCCGCTGAGCATGGGCCCTGACCTGGGGCTCAATGTCACAAACTGAGATCATGACCTGAGCTAAAACCAAGGGTCAGTTGCCCAACTGACTGAGCCACCCAGGCGCCCTGATTGCTAAATTGTAAGTTGCATAATTTCCCTACTGTTTGCTCTCTGGTTCTTACTAGGGCTAATTCTTCTTCTTCGTCTTTTTTTTTTTTTGTAAGTGGGCTCCATGCCCAACCTGGGACTCGTACTCACAACCCTGAGAACAGGAATCACATGTTCCACCGATCGAGCCAGCCAGGCGCCCCTTATTAGGCCTAATTCTGAGAAGGACTGAGGCCAGTACCCTTGTCAATAAGAGGAGCTTCTCTACCTGCCTCCTAGGGAGATGAAGCAGGTTCAATGAAACCATGTGCATAAAGTACCCGCACCCCGTGAAAGCTGCAGAATTGAGGGGCTGGGCACCCCAGAGTCCCAGAAGCTGTCTGTGAGAGGGTCAGCAACAGAAAAAGTGATGATTTACACGGCCCCCGTGCAGATGCGGACTTCAGAGGCTGGCTGGCTGAGTGGAAATGCGACCCTCCATCTATATTCCACGACACTGGAGGATTTACGAAGCTGATGGGTATGTATCTGCACACGCCTGTGTGTGTGTGAGCACACGCTGTGGGTGGGTTCTGAGTGAACTTCACAGATGACGCAGGTCAAGCCCAATCAGCTGTTATTATTATTAGTTTTTAAAGATTTATTTGTTTTTTAGACAGAGTGAGTTGGGGAAAGAGCAGAGCAAGAGAATTCTAGGCAGACTCTGCATGGAGCATGGAGCCTGAGGTGAAGATTGATCTCTCAGTCCCGAGATCATGACCTGAGCTGAAATCCAGAGCCGGTCCCTTAGCTGGTGGAGCCACCCAGGCGCCCCTCAGCTGTTGCTTTTCCCGGGGCACTCATGAGGAAAGAAAGGCTGAGAGAGTGATCTACTCAAGGTCACAAACCTAGACCACGAAGGAGCCAGAAAAACACCAGTCTTTTTGATTCTAAGCTGGTTTCCACTGAACAACTGGGATTCCCAGCAAGTGACTCTAAAGTCTTACGGAAACTGTGAAGTTACCCGAGACAACCTTCTCGTGTGTGATCTTTCCGAGATACACACCACACGTCAGCCTACTAAAAGTGCTCGTCAGCCCTGTGATAAGACGCAGGCTCCTTCTGAAGGCTCACCACGCCCGCGCGGCCTGCCCCTGCCAGCTTCACTGGCCTGGCCCCCGAGGCCTGGACACTCCAGCCACGGGGGACCACCTACAGGACCCTAGTTCCCGGGCACAGCCTTCCCACTCCTACTTCCTCTTCCAGGCACACTCGTCCTTGTCCTTCTGGTCTGTTCTGACTCTTCTCTGTGGCAGGGGTGGTCAGCCCTCTCCTGGCCCCCACCTCACTGTTCTGCAGCTGTCTGTCTGTCCACGTGACTGTGAACTCCTGAGGGCAGGAACTTTCTCCTTCTCCTCTGTTCTCCAGCACAGGGCTTTCCGCCCGCGGCAGGTCTTCGGTGAGTGTCGATCTACTGAGTTGTGCTGAGCACGGACTCGAAGGATTCAGGTAACAATGCTATGAACCGGACGTCTCTGAGCCTTCATCGTTCCAAGATTGGAGCGAGGATGTCAGGATCCTCTGACGGGAGCGCGCCCTGGCAAGGTGGTGGGTCTGCTCTGAGGCACGGGAAGGACGGGAAGGCACCTGCTGGTCTGTTCTCTCACCCGCTGATGAACGCGCGCTACTTTACTCATTCATCCCATTCACCTGCCTCCGGGAGGTAAGCAGAGGAGGACGGTGGGGCCCTCTGCGAGCCTCCGTGGGGATGGCGATGAGCGCGCCTGGCCTGCGAACCGCGCTCTCACCCTCCGTCCCTGACCCCGACGTGAGCCCTTGCTCCTCAGCCAGGGCAGGCGGGCAGAGTGGGAATAACCCACGGGTAAGTGACGGGTCTGAGTGGGGCAGGCGTGCGGCCCCTGCGCATGCTCCACGCCAGTGTCCGACAGGTGCTTCCACGGCCATTGGCAACCTCCCAGCACTGCAACGGGCCAGCGGCAGGGTGATACTCGGAGGGGTCAATGACAAGATGGATTTTTCTTCTCACCATCTTTCCAGGTCAGAGAAGTGTAGATATAAACACACATAATTCATTCAGGGCCGACGGGAAGGCCTGCAAAGGGCCAGACTGAGTTTTGGGGACGCGGGATGAAGGATACATGTCCCTGCCGTCAGGGGCTCACAGCCTTGCGGGGAAGAGGGACGTTACCCACCAGCAGTGTGGCAGAGTGTACTTGTGAGTGGAACAAGTGTGCGGGTCGCAAGCCCCAGGCTGGAGGATGGCGCGAGGGCGGGCCTTTCTGGGGGCAGATGGAGAAGGGTGCAGCTTCCCCGCCACACCTCCAGCGAGGTCACGGCCAGGCACCTGCTGGGCCTGCTGGGGACATGTGTTCTCTTCAGGAGGCTTGTTTATTTAACTGGGCTTCTCATCCGAGGGCCTTGACACATTTGGTGAGAACGAGGAGCCACGGAAACAAGTCTTACTTTGTCTGCTCAAACACAGACCATTTTTAAGTGCTGCTCTAGCGGCTGTCGCTGGCTTGGGGGTCACTGGGAACGGGAGTCGGCGCTGACAGTAAACACAGGCCTCACCTCCACGACGAGCTGCAGGTCGTCCACGTACCGCTCCTCCGTCTGGATCAGCTCGTGGATGTAGCCCTGCCTCTTCCTCTCCCCCGGCTGCATGGTGTCCAGGCTCTGGAGGTCCGCGCACCCTACAGGAAGACAGGGCACAGGTTCAAAACAGCCCTTTCGTCTTCTTTGTAGGAAACAGACAATTATCAGCAGACGTGCTGGGTTTACAAACGGAGCCTCGAAAGAGCCACGCGGCTTTCCAGAGTGCCCAATGGTCTGCAGAGCGGCACCCACCTGCTGAAGTCTGGCCTCGCCGCCCGCTCCCCCGGAGCCGCAGGGAGCCATGCCCCTGCCATCTCACTGGGGTCCTCGCTTCTCTTCCAAATCAATGACAGAGGAAGGGGTTTTAGAAATGGCCTCAGAGAGAGGAGAACTGTTCTGAACTTGTGAAGAACCTGTGCGGTTCTCATCGCTGTGGGTCATTTTCAAAGGTAGATAGTGATCTTCGAGATATCAAAGATATTTGATTGATTAAATCAATCAGCTGAGGGACAGATTTGATTAAATCAATCAGATGCTTGAGACCAGCGTTTTCCAAATTGCAGGTCATAAGACATCTGCGGATCCCTCCATCAATTTTGTTTTTAAAAATGTGGGTTAGGCACGCTCTTTCCCTTTCCCTCACTCTCTCAAATAAATAAATAAAATCTTTTAAAAAAAAAAGGGGGAGCATCTCGGTGGCTCCCTTTGTTGGTTAAGCGTCTGCCTCCTTTTAGCTCAGGTCATGATCTCAGAGTCCTGGGATCCAGCCCTGAGTCAGGCTCCCTGCTCGGTGGGGAATCTGCTTCTCCTTCTCCCACTGCTCCAATGCCTGTCTTGTGTGCTCTTTCTCAAATAAATAAAATCTTAAAAAAAAAAAAAAGTGGGTCAGGGGGCACCTGGGTGGCTCAGTGGGTTAAGCCTCTGCCTTTGGCTCAGGTCATGATCTCAGGGTCCTGTGATGGAGCCCCAGGTCGGACTCCTGGCTCAGTGGGAAACCTGCTTCTCCCTGTCCCCCTGCTCATTCTCTCACTCTCAAATGAATAAATAAAATCTTTAAAAAACTGTGGGTCAGGCTTAGCATTAACACAAACAAATAAATACAAACCAGCTGGTGTGCAGCATTGGTAAGTACTGCTCTGTGAACACTTTTTCATAGGTATGTAGAGAATCTTACTGCTAAGAAATGTTTGAGGAACATTTCTCTAGATTTCTCAAAGTCAAGTGTTACAGTTAGGAAACCTGAAATTCCTGGGATTCAGCAGTTCCCAACAGGGCCACTGCCTTAGCCACCAGAACATCATGGCCATAAGACCTTGAGGCAAGTCCCCAGCAGCCTCGCGTCAGGGTGAGCACCACCGCACTCAGTCTGGATCAATTCAAGGGCACACGGGAGCTGAACTGAGTATCAGCCTGAGAACCGACATGATTCCAGAATTACTTGGCACATAGCTGAGGGCTTGCCTTATGCACAGTGGTGGGGGACTACCGCAGGTAGGCCTTCCTCAGACAAAGAGAGCTGGTAGGTACCAGCAAGCTACAATGTGAGGGAGACAGAAAGCCGAGTGAGGTGTGGGTGACCGTCGAGGCTGAGGCAACCATGAGAGGCGGCGGGGGCGGGGGTGTCACAGTGCCCTAGCCTTCATCCATGGGACAGGTGGGGACCAACGCAGAGGCACCACTCGGAGATGTGCTTGTGGGGCAATGGGAACACGTAAAGCCACAGAGGCAGAAAATGCAAGGATCAGACTGGGTTTCTCAAGGGGGCTTCTCTTTCTGCTTGCCTTTGAGTTTTTATATGTTTTGTTCAGATCTGGGCCAACAGTTCTAAGGGAGACAACCGGTCTATTTTCTGTACGTGTTGCCAACAGCTTCAAAAAAATTCTTCTCACAGTAAAACAGAAATAAAATAAAGCAGGTTGTGTTTGGTGCTTTCAAGAAGACATCATGGTGCCACTGTCATGTTCAAAATTATCCAGCTTTTCTGGGGATCGTACTGTATCCTGTTCTGCCGCCGAGAGCTGCGGAAAGACCAGGTGTCCTGACCCCGTGAAGCTAATACAGACGCCTGTCTGACTAGGTTGTGGGGAGCAGGGAGGCTGGAGGGGAAATGTCAATGGCGATGTGACCTGGGATCACTGGTCAGAGTTACCAGCTGACTGGGATGAGCCATTGGAACCGTTTCTAAGTCTCTGAGGTTACCGCATTTCTTACACCCATGTGTACGGATTTTAGCCATTCACCTTCTCCCACGTCCTTCCCTGTAAATTTACTCATGTTTGAGTTAAATATGTAGGGGACCATGGGTTTTATGTATTGATTATGTTTCTTCTAATACTCACTAAAATAAATACATAACTTTTAGAATAAAACAAGTTCTCCTATGGGGCGCCAAGGCAGCTCAGTTGGTTAAGTGTCCGACTCTTGATCTCAGCTCAGGTCTTGATCTCAGGGTCGTGAGTTCAAGCCCTGTACTGGGCTCCACACTGGGCTTGGAGCCTGCTTAAAGAGCAAACAAGTCGTCCTAGGTACTATATTGTGCGCCATCGAGTAGTGTACCATCGGGTATGTGGATCACACTTCGGGAAACGATTTATGGTAAAACCCACGAGCATCAGCCTATGTTCTGCACCTTGGAATAACAGGAAAAGTCTCAGATATTTTATAATTTTAAAAAATTAATTAATTAATTTTAGAAGGTGGGGAGGGGCAGAGGGAGAGTGAGAGCGAACGCCAAGCCGACTCTGTGCTGAGCGCGGAGACTGATGTGGCCTTGATCTCACAATCCTGAGATCATGACCTGAGCTGAAACCAAGAGTCAGAAGCTCAACCAACTGTGCTATCCAGGTGCCCCTATTTTATCACTTCTAAGGCTAGAACACACATGACATTAGTTTTATCAGGATGAATGCGGGGACCATCCTTATACTCCACTCCTACATACCCCCTTTGTATTTCAGTACAAAGGTTCTTAAAATTTTATTCTCTTCAAGTTTCCAATTTGACCCCAACCCTCACTTTCAGACATTCTTACCTCTGATGTCAGGGGAAAGAAAGGCATGGCAGCCTTTTTACTTCTGCCCTTCACTTCCCTGCTCACTCACCCCTGTACTTCCTTCCTGTGTTAGGGGATGAGGGGATCCTGTTTCTTCCTGGAGCCGCATTGTTAACCGAACCTCTCCTTTCTGCTGTCCTCTCCACCCACATTGTCCAACATGTTAGCCATTAGCAACACTGAGCACTTGAACTGTGGCCAGTCCAAACAGAGAAGTGCTCTAAGTGTGAAATACACACCAGATTTCAAAGACCTAGTACAAAAACCCTAGCACATAAAATAATGCATTAATAATTCTTATGTTGGCTGCATATTAAAATGGTAATATTTTGCATAATACTGAGCTAAGTAAAAAATTATTCAAATCAATTTCATGTTTTACTTTTTAAAATGTGGCTTTTGGAAAATTTTAAATTACATATGGGCTGGCTGCATTTGTGACTTACATTATATTTCTATTAAACAGCTTAAGCCAGCTGGAACATTTATCATGTTCCTTTCCTAACAGGATGTTTTAGCGGCTTCCACTATCTGCAGAATAAAGTCTTAGCTTAGTGGCACAGGGTTCCAGAGTCTCTGTAATCCACCCACAGCTACATTTGCAGCCTCACCTTTGACCATGTAGCCTACCTGTTGGCCACTCTGGCCCAGGCTCAGTCCTCACGATGAGCTGTCCAGTTGCCCATGGCCCTCTTCTCCACACACAGCCAGCTTTCTAACCCTTCAGGGTACAGCTCATCTGACCCTACTCTGGGGGAACTTTCCCATCCCTGTCCCACTTATCCCCAGCTTGCCTCTCTTTTGTGCTTCTAGGCTAGTCTGCATCTGTATTTAACATTTCACATAATGTAACCTGCGCTATAGTTCACCTCTTATATAGCTGGTGTGTCCGTCTCTCCCACTGGAGGTCAGGGACAGTATCTCCCACAGTTCTAGAATATCAAATTTAACATAGCGTTTTGACCAGGAAATATCTGTCAAATGGCAGACCGTTGGGTTGGTCCCCAGACCTGTTTCTCACCTCTCCTCCGCTCTGCACTCTGACCAACCCCACAGACTGCTTGTATAAGCTCCTCTTTCAGTTGGCTTCTGCCCAGGTTTGCCCAATGAGAGGAGGCTCCGGAAGGAGACCACAGGGCCAACTGGGAGAACTCTCCTCCTGCTAGAAGAGTGAGAGGATAGGAGAGCTTTTAAGTCTGCTGGGTCAAGAAGTAAAGAATTGCTAGGTTTGCATCTCACATAAATGTGGAGTTCAAGAGTTCCAAAACTGATGGATCAACAGAAAAATGGTCCCTGGCTGGTGATACCCTTAGTGTGGTTGGTCAAAGAAAATGTACACTGTCCAGAGGGTCTCTCTCACAACTGTGGTTCCACACGATTTCCACAGGAAAACCATCTCACTAAAGAGGAGTTCAAAGTAAAAAATTACAAAAAATAAGGACTGATCCACCATAAATAAAAATGATGACTAGAAGGAACCCTAAGGGGGGGCATCTGGCTGTCTCAGTTGGTATAGCATAAAACTCCTGATCTTGGGGTTGTGAGCTGCAGCCCCATGCTGGTGTAGAGATTTCTTAAAATAAAATCTTAAAAAACAAAACAAGAGGGGTGCCTGGGTGGCTCAGTCAGTTAAGCATTTGCCTTCGGCTCAGGTCATGATCCCAGGGTTCTAGAACTGAGCTCCACATCAGGCTCCCTGCTCAGTGGAGAGCCTGCTTCTGCTGCTCCCTCTCCTTGTGCTATCTTTCTCTGTGAAATAAATAAATAAAATCTTAACAACAACAACAAAACCCCTAAGAACATAAGGTAATAGAATAAAATCTTAAAAAAAAAAAAAGTGAAGTGTCTATATTTAAAATAACTCAAGATGTACATTAAGGGTTTGAGTACATAAATACTGTCTGTAAAAAAGAATGGGCAGGGACGCCTGCGTGATGCATTCGGTTAAGCATCTGCCATTGGCTCAAGTCATGATCCCAGGGTCCTGGGATCATGTCCCATGTCAGGCTCCTTGCTCAGCAGGGAGACTGCTTCTCCTTCTGCTGC